CTTCTCCATTTCCTACACTGTTCTCAACATCCCCCTGCCTATTCTGTATCTACCAATTTGTACTTCTTAATCCCTGCGTTTTTTTCCCATTCTCTCGCTTCGCCCTCCCAGCTGATAATCCTCCAAATGATCTCCATATCTATGATTCTGTTTCTGTTCTGCTTGTTTGCTTAGTTTATTTTTTAGATTCAGTTGCTGATAGTTGTGTGTCTGTTGCCATTTTAATGTTCATGGTTTTGATCTTTTTCTTATATAATTCCCTTTAACATTTCACATAGTGAGGGCTTGGTGATGATGAACTCCTTTAGTTTTACCTTGTTTGGAAAGAACTAACCCTAACCCTTGCTCAACTTTTTTGCCTTTTTTGGCTCTCAACAAATTGGATGATGGCCACCAACACTGGAGAGAGCCATCTTTTACTGCAAATCTCTTCCATAAACACCCTAACAGACACACTCAGAAATGTTTTACTAGTTATTTGGGCATCCCTTAGGTCAGGCAAGTTGATACATAAAATTAACTATTAAGTCTATAAGTGCTCTAAAATTTATCAAATACTTGAAATGTACCTAGTGCGACTAAAGAACTAAATTTTAAATATTTAATTTCAAGTTGTAGGTTAGGGCCTACCATAATACACAGCACAGCCCTAGGGACCCTAACTTAGAAAGGGAGGTTGCTGGTCAGGAAAGGTCTTTCAGAGGTAAAAACATGTAAATAGAGACTTGGAGGATGAGTTGATAGAATCCAATTAAGAGTGAGATGGGGGTGGGGAAGACTGAGGGTGTGCATTTAGGACACAAGAAATGGGAAGGACATTCCAGAAGGAGAAAACAGCCTTTGCAAATCCCTGGAAACAGAGAAACTTAAAAAAGGGACTTTTACTGTTGAGGAATTGGGTTCCTTTTCAGAAATTTTATGATATAAATCACTTTTTATTAACCTAGGCATTATCTTATCTCAGCATTTTAATTTGGGATACATTAAGTAACATGTTCTGGCAGGAGGTGCATATCAGAGCCAATCCCACCTTTCCCAGTGAAGTTTAATTCCCTAAAGACTTAGCTTTTTTTTTTTTTTTTTTTTTACTTAAAAGCCTCAATTTTTTCAGATTGTACCATGTTTTATATGTTTACTAATTGCTACACAAGGAAGAGTTTTCTCTTACTTGGCCTTTTATCATCATTTTGGAGACTAAAGAGTTGACTGATTTCAATTTGTTCACCCTCTTCATATTTACATTATTTAATTTATGATGTAAAACAGAAAGTATATAAAAATTTATAAAAGGGTAGAAATTTACTTTCCCATACATATCAAAACATTTGGTTCAAAAAAAAATCAATGAAAAGCAAAGTGTGAGCTCTTGCAAACTTAAATGCAATTCAATATTTTTTTGCATTTCATTTAGATTCATCATCTCCCAATATTTTGAAAGTTGTGGATCTGATCTATACAGTCTGATATTATATATGACATTTAATTCCCATTGTGTTGTGATTATTCAACCTTAATACTGGGAGGTAATTTCTTATCCTCAAGAAAGGATTTATAGTCTAAGGATGCTTAAGTGTAATTTTTTTCAGTACACTAATTACCACTTCAAAACTTTTAGTTACAAAGAAATCTGACCCCATTTCTCACCCCTTTTTCTAAAAAAGAATTTTAAAAAATATAAACTGACTTTTCTTAAAAAGTACTTCTTTAGTTTTCCATTGAGTTTGAAGGTCTGTAGATTTTTGTGGACCAAAATTTGTTTTATGGACTACATAAGACCCTATGCCTCAAAAGTCCATGTTTTTCTTCATTAGACCACGTGTCTGTTTTATTTTGTTGTTATTGCTGTCATATAGGTATTACTGAAGATGTTTATTATGGTCCTCTAAATAGAAGTAAGATCTAAGGTTTAGCACCCAAGCTGGGAAACCGAAAGTTTTGGATGCCACCTTATTGTGTGACTTAAACTGCTCTAGTAAGATGATGGCTATGCCTAATGTTCAAGGTAATTCTATATGCATCTGATATAGTTTCCTGATTTATTTTTTAAGATTATTAAAAGGTATTAATTATAACTAGTTTAATTGGATTCAACCAAGAAAGTCTCAGCGATGTGACATAGTCCAGTCTAAAGAACTACTAAGTGGACTGCACATCTGCCCTCTTCTTAAGTAGCTCAACATCAGTAAGGGCATTATTTAAACAGTCCCTGGGCCTGTTAATGAACAACCATGGGGCTGTAGTCAGAGACTGGAGCCTAAGTAGGTAAGAGTATAAAAGTCACCTGAGTGCACATAGCAAAGTAATGAGAAAAAGTCAAGAAAGCATAAGAAAGGGGGAAGATTGAAGAATAAACTTGGTCACATAAACGGAATACTAAGAAAGCCATGGTGAGCGATGCACGAGAGTACTTGTTACAGAGTGGTAAGAGGGAGACCTCCTAGGAATTGGGGACCTTCTGGGAATTATATGCTAGTTATGTCCTGGACCAAGTATTAGTGCTTTACTAGAGACAGTTTTAGTAGTGGCCTGGGATCAAGCATGACCACAGTTGATCCTAGGCTTCCTTTTTACTGAGTGCCCTTGACAAATTACTCAATTTTTATGAACTTCAACTTTCTCTTCTAAAAAAAAAAAAAATGAGGATAATTATACCTACTTCACAGGCTAATAAAAGGATTAAATGAGGTAACCTGACATTAGATGAAGAATAGTTCTCTTTCTATTCTTCTAATGACAACAACATGCATTCCTTAGAGGTGTTTTCTGGGGCTAAGTGCTGGAACTCTGGAATCAATCTGTTCATGTCATAGCTCTCTCACTTATGTATCCTTGGACAAGTTACTTGACTTCTCTGTGTTTCACTTTCATTCTATGTAAAATGAGGATATCAAATATAGGACTGTTATGAAGATTAAGAACATACATAAAGTACTTAGGACAGTGCTTAGTACATAGTAAACATTTTTAAAATTTTAACTAAAAATGCTCAGTGGGGGGAGGTAGAAGAGGGTAAAAAGGGGGATAAATGATGATGGAAGGAGACTTGGGATAGCAAATGCACTATGCAATATACAGATGATGTTTTATAGAGTTGTACACCTACAACCTGTATAATTTTATTAACCAATGTCACCCCAATAAATTAAACAAAAATTAAAAAATAAATAAAAACGTTCAATAGTCCTGGGTTCTTTCTAGAAGTGATTCATTTTGGCTTAGGTTATAGTCACATAACTGGGCAGAAAGACTTACTAGTCTTGCTAACTGTGGGTGAGTTTCTTGTAATTCTGTTTGGGACAACATTGCCTGCCCAGAACAGGTGGTGGTAGTAGCTTCCCTTCTAACTAGGGTTATGGTTGTGGATAGTTCCAACGCAGTTCCGGGTGAGAGAGTTTGGGGCCAGCAGCCAGGCTGCCTTGCATCAAGCCTTCCTTGCTGACCTTGGGCAAATTAACATTTCTGTCTCCTCCCTTGAGAAACGGGGATAATTTTTGCTTCCCTGGGTGGTTTGAGGATTAAACAAGATAATTTACCTACAGCTCAGGTAGCTTGCACCTATCACAGAGCTGCAGTGGTAACGATTACATATATGTATGTCCGTAATATATATATGTATGTTACCCCTCCGGGATTTTGAAAGCTTTGGAAATGGGCCCTTTCCACTTGCCTGGATTCAGGCTGGGTAAGAGGGAAAAACAATCTCTTCCTTTTGTAACGAAGTGACTAGAGATCTCTTCCCCCTAGATCCTGCCCTTCATTCCCCCCACCCCTACCCTGGCCGCCTGCAAATGCAGGCAAAGACATGATCCCTTCCAATTTTATAATCTACTTATTTCTGTTTGTGCGGGTTTATCCGGGCTTGGTAGCAAGCCAAGGGTGGGTGGGGAGAAGCATTAAATCCTGGCAACCCCACTCCCCATCTCCGAATGCCGCAGGGCTCCTGCCAGTCGTCCTCGGTTAAAAACGTGCTTTTTATTTTACTTCCCCGCAGTCTCCTGTGCAGTAGCTCATTACCACGCGATTCAATCACTGCTGCCAGCATCTCCTCATAACGTTTTCCCCTTCCCCCATTTCAGGGACATTGGTCCTGGCTGACATTTAAAGGAAATAAACACTGATTTAAAAAATTACAACCTTCTCGCCTGAAGAACCCAGCAGCAATGAATAACAGAACAGTCCAGCGAAGAGCGCCTGTCGGGGCTCAGCTCCGCCGGCCCTTCCTGCCACACAATTCCCCACACCCGAGCAGCGCAAATCACCATTTCCAGGCGCCACTCGAGGCTGTCAATTCCACTTTCGCTTAATCTCATATTAAATCCGGCTACAGATGAGGCTCTGTCGCTGCAGCGAGGAGCCGGGCGGGGGGCGGGCAGCTGGAAGGACTCGAGGCCTGGATAGGAAGGAAGCGTAGAGAGCCCTTGCGGTTCGGGGCCGCAGGAGATCCCCAGAACAAGTGCGGGACGCCCCGGCTCGGAGGCGGGCGAGCCCCGAGGGGCGCGGAGCGCTGCCGGCTCAGACAAAGGAGCCGGAGCCCGCTCCAGTCCCCATTGCCTCTCTCCTTCCCCCGCGCCTCCTCTCAGGATAAAGGGGGAAGTCTGAGGGCCAAAGGGGATGGTCCCCTTCTTTCGCTCCTCCGAGCTCTCTCCGAGGCATTTACATCCTTCACTGTACATTCGCGGTCCCTGTGAACCCCGACAGCGCCCGCCTACCCAGCCAGCTCGCGCCCCTCAGCTGCCCCCCTAGGTGCGACCTCGGTTTAGGCCCGGGCCCCCGGAGGCTGCGCCCCGCACCGAGCGAGGTGCGGGCGACAGAACTCAGGAGGGCGGGGGCGGCCGGGCGCGCGGGGGGAGGAGGCGGTGCTCGGGGGCGGAGGAGAGGCCGGGACACGTGTGGAGGCGTTGCGGGGGGGGGGCGGGGTGGGGAGGAACTCGGCGCCCGGGGCTTTAAGAAGGTGTGGAGGGGGGCGGGCGCTTTCCCAGGACTGGCCAAGGGGCGTCGCGCACGGGCGGCTGCAGCTGCGGCTCGCAGTGGCTTGGACGACGCGCTCTTAGCGCCCGCAGCCCTGGTCCCGCTCTCGCGCGGCCCAAAGAAACTTTGCGAGCCACGGTCTCCCGCCGAACTTCCCTGCGGGGCTCCGCTCCCGAGCCGCTCTGCTCCCGTCTGCGGCTTCTCGCCTTCCACTAGCGTGGCTTCTCCGTCCCGGCGCCTCCAAAACTGAATGAGCGAGCGGCGCTCGGAGAGCGCGGCAGCATGGAGCGCAGTTGCTGGGCCGCGCGGACTTTCCTCCTGGCGCTGTTGCTGGGGGCGACGCTGAGGGTGCGCGCGGCAGTGGGCTATTACCCCCGCTTCTCGCCCTTCTTTTTCCTGTGCACCCACCACGGGGAGCTGGAAGGGGATGGGGAGCAAGGCGAGGTGCTCATTTCCCTGCACATTTCGGGCAACCCCACCTACTACGTACCGGGACAAGAATATCATGGTAGGTACCACGGCATCTCCGCGCTCGCTGCCGTCCCGGTGCGCCCGCGGGCGCAGCGTTTTCTTCTTTTTCTTTTTCCAAGGGGCCATTTAAACAAGAACCATCCCATCCCTCAACATTGAGCCCTTTGGAGGGACACAGAACAAAGTTAGTGAGAATCGAATCGCGAGTTGGAATTTATTAACTACCCTTCACACAAACCACACTGCCCCCAAGCATCTGTCTCATCGTGATGAACTGGTGCTTGTAAGATATGCCCGAGAATTCTCTGGGGTCGGGTCTTTCCCCCTCCTCCGATCAGCTGACACTTTGAATGAACCCGGGCATCCTGTTTCCTTAACCCCAGTGCTTGGATTCCAGACCTTTGTCTTGCTCCGGGTTACCCCCTGAAGGGTGACGTTGGGGCTGGCACCAGGCTTTTTGGACGGGCTGGTGACAGATTGACGCGCCCCGGTCCTCGGCTGCCCCGCGCGGTCGCCCGCCCGCTGTAAAGTTCCCGCTGCTCACCAGCCAGGGGTCCCTCTGATTTTACTCAGTGTCCAAAGCCCTCCTGAAAGGTAGTTGCTGCTCCCAGCTCTCTGTTCTTTGAAAAGTGTTTAAATGCCAGTATTTGATGCTTTCCCTGATTCCTCTGTTATATTTAACATGCTGTTTAGATTTAGAATGATCTGTGTGATGTTTATTAATGACTTTGTCTTTTATTTGCACAGCTTTAATTTTCAGGTAGGGGCGGGAAGGCCCTTATAATTTAAAGGTACCTTAAAAAAAAAAAAAGGATCATATGGAGTCCGTCATCAAAATTAAATATTATTGAAGAAGTAAAATTTAACTCCAAGAAATACAATTTTATGTGGTGCATATATTTTTAATATTTTAAACTAGTAAGTCCAGTTTGTGGGAAAACAGAAAGCTATTGTGTCTTCTGTGTTTCCATTGGAACTTCTGAATATTTCACTTCCATGGAGCTTTAAAGCCACTACAGGTACTATTTAATAAGAATTTCAAAGCAAAATACTATACCTAACTAAATAGAAACTATTGCCTAGTAATCTCATATTATAGTTTCCATCTCTTGTAGGCTAACGGTTATTTACATAGCAGGAGATAATCCATGGAGCAGCTGGCATTTCAGATAACCATACCTATAAAAATGATAAGAATCCTTAAATTTTCATTTAAAAAAGAAAACCTTTATTAAATACCTATGTATTTAATAAAGAAAACCTATGTTAAAATGTTTAGCCTAAGTAAATCCTTTCCAGATATTTAAATTAGTGCTTTTACAACTTTCTTGTGGCATGGTGGCAGCCTTGTCTGTAAGGCAGTTTTATTTGGCGGAATTTTAGACTTTGGAAAATTAATTTTCTGTTAACTAGTCCCTCTTAACAAAAGAACTTAACCACATCCTCTTCCCAAGAACAAGTTGGTGTTTTTCTGGGGTCATGAGAATCTTTTAAGTGGAAAAACCAGCCAATGTGGCAACCCAGACCTAACCCAAAGACTGATTGAGCCAGTCGGTGTAACCCTTAGCAAAGGTGCTTGTCTGTTAGTGGCTCCAAGTGAGAGTGATAGGTAAGTGAGCCAAGGCTGGGCTAAAAGGTATGATTGTCAGGTTGTGATGGAAGACCATATGATAATACAAAGCTTTATTTTTTTTTCTGTTTTCCACATCCTTTGTAAGGTGCCAGCGTAGAAAACTCAAAAAATATCAAAATATGATATAGTATTTGCTTTTGCAATAAATCTCACAAATGTAAGTCACCCTAAGACTGACCATAATCACATCCCTAAATCTGAAAAGGAATGAATGATAGAGATTAAGAGTAAAGTGTAATACTTCAAGTTGGACATTGGGGGGAAAGTCTCGATTTATACTTCTTTTCCGCTCCCAGAAAAGGTAGAGAAATTTTATTATGTAAGTTTAAGAAGATCAAATTATTATAAGGTTTGAGGATAGTTAATGTCATATTTAAATTCCCGTTACCTGTTTTATCAATATTTAGATTTTGAAACTGGCTGTAGGTACAGACCGTCAGTAAGAGTTTTTCCCTGTAAAATGTTCTACAGGTAGAAGAAATGTTTAAAAATTAAATGATGCTTACATTTGTCTCTTTTTTCTCTTAGACATTTAAAAATGAATGTTAAAAATTAATTATATAGTATCTTCAAAGAATTAAACTGCTGATAACTGCTGAAAACTTAACCTAATATATTTTTGTGGTTGACTCTTTTTATATAAGAACAAAATAGAAGGTCATTTGGCTCAAAAATTTTAAAGCTAAGAAATCTGTAAAATATTAGCTTAAGACTTTATTTCTAACCTTCTGAATCTTTAAAATATAGCAGTATGTGAGAAAAAAAATATCCATTTTGTCTATGATTTACATTTAACTCAGCATTTGGAGGAATGGAATTTGGGTGCAGCCAGTGGTTATCTCTTTTTTACCTAAAACAATGCAGAGGTAGAGGTGGTATGTGCAACGGCACCAAGCACAGAACATTACTGTAAACAAGACTGTGCCAGCTGCCCTCTGAGATTTGTGCTGTGTGGCAGAGCTTGGAATGTGAAATGGAGAGGCAAATGTCGGTCTGGTGTGAGAGATTTGTTCAAAATTATGGCTCTGTGTATGTGTCATATTTATTAGAGGTTTATATTGAAAAGTTTAGGGAAAAAACTAAACTAAAAATATAATACTGAAGAATTCAAAGCTTGTGTGTCTAACGGAATTGTTACAATATTTCCAAATTTAAGTAGTATGTACACCGGAGTTACTTGTGCTAGTTCTCATCTCTTAATTAAGGATAACATTTGGTACCCTTGTTGTCTTCCTATTATCTTTTAAACTCTGCTGTCTATAACCTCTTGAGATAGCACTGTTAGTTGCAATGAACTATGGTGTCCACCACCATGAATCCACCACATAGCCACAATGCAGAAGCCTAGCAAAAAGGTCTCATATACACCCTGTTGAATTAAAAAGAAAAGTCTCAGGGTCAGAATTTTTTCTAGAATTTTTTTTTTTGCACAAATCTCAAAATATTGTCATTTGCAACGACATGGTTTCTAAGCCAAAACCTGCAATTTTTTTTTTTTTGTAGAAAGTTGCAAATGGTGGGAAAATAGAAATGGAAATCTAGATGGTCCAGTCAGGTAGCCATTTCTCTTTTCCAGCAATGCCTGGTGAGATTCACTGCTTCTTCTCCTAGGGATTCAGGGCCTATTGTGTGACAAGCAAACAGTTGAGTTGATGTTTGTACCTTTCCCTTCCCATGATAATCTCTCTTTCTCACTCCCACACCTCAGGTTTCTACCTACCATTTTTCTGTTGTTGTTTGCAACCCCCTCCCCCATTCAATTTATAGTGAATATGCCAATAGTTGTCAATATTAAATTTTCCCACAGTCTCAGTTACAAGTGTGGAGAGAGATTTTTTTCCTTTTTGTTGAAAAGAATTTTGGCACCATTTTTGGATAGAAAGACTAGATACCACTGAAATCATGTTAGTAAGGACCCATCTACTCACAAGATTGGCTTTACTCAGAGACTATATCAGAAGTGGAGGTCAGACATTAGAAAAAAAATCTATGAAAGCCTAGCATAGGTATATGAGTATGCCCTGAGTGCTTGAGCTTTGGTGAGACAATTTATCTGAATTTTTTTACAAATTAATTTTTTTTAAATTGCAGTAATGTTGGCTAATAACATTATATAAATTTCAGGTGATTAAAATCTCTATTATGGTGGCATAAAGTGGGGGAAATGTTCTGTTGCAATGCAAAATATGCTCTAAAATATAGATTGAGGGAAAACAATTCTGCCTTAAGTAGAAATGAGTTGGTGATATGACATGATGCTTTTAAAAGGGGATTTTTTTTCTTTTGTATTTTGTAAATCCCACCAGTGATAGTTCTTTCATGCTACATTTCCATTCCATTATTTATTTAATCATTTTGTGGAGTAGATGGGAAAATCAATTCCTACTGCTAAAACTGAACATTTACCTAAAACACACACACACACACACACACACACACACACACACGAGATATAATCATGATTAAGTATCTAGGGATATTTGTTGTAACAATTACTAGTATTGCTATTATACATACACATGTTCTGGAATCAATTGGTTATTTTTTAAAAAATCACTGTTAAAAGGCAGTACAATGTAATGACCTTTCAGATACAGGAATGATATATATGTTATACATAATTTTTGGTACTATATTCCAGATTAAATTCTGTTCAAAGGACTGATTTTAATATTGAATTAATGTAATCTGCTATGGCTAAGGTAACTGTTTATCAGGTGTATGGTTATTTATCTTTTATATGTTCAGATTCTAGAATCAGTATATTTAAACTTTCAGCATCATTTGTCAAATGCAATTCATAAGTAAACTGCAGCTGTGTCCTTCTTGGTGTTTGTCTGAACACTGAAAACTGAACATTTTAAAGCATTTTGCTTTACTTGTCATGTCTTTCATTTCACTTTTGACAATTTATTTAAACTCATTTTACTGACTTGGTTTATATTGTTTCTTAAATCATATAAATGTTGCTTTAATTTATATTCCCTGAATTTCAGTTCCAGCCATTAACTAAAATATGTAGTTAAGTATAAAATATCAATTCTTTAGAATTGTTGAAAACAACTCATTTATGCAGATATTCTTACTTCATTCACCACACTACATTACAAGAAATTATTTAATTGTTAAATACTAAAATAAGACAGTTGTGTCATTTAATCCTTTAAGTGTATTTTTTACAGAACTGTCTTAGATTTTTCTTTTCATCTTTAAAGAGTAGGTGATAGGTACTTTAATAAGATTTTAAATTCCAATTTTTTCCTAAATTAATTTCATTCAGAGGGAAATATCTAGCATCTACCTTTGATTTATTTATTTTTCCTCTCCAGAACTGGTCAAGTTTATTGAATGATCTGGAAACCTTACATTATCAATTCTATAGGATATTTTGCATATTAAGCTAT